TACTTATACAGAATTTTACTATATTATAGGCATAGGCTAGGACCAGGCCTCCTACTATAGTATAGACGCCTAGTCCAAGACCTTGTTGCAAATCCCAACCCACATAAGCCTGGCCTATAATGCCAAGCACAGGGCTCGTGATCGCGGTACCCTGACCATTAAAAAATTAGCAGACGCACTGGGAAGCGTTGTTCACGGAATTGGACTGTTCCATTAATGATGGGGGAATCACCCCATAGATTATCAGTTATTTATTACGGATGATAGACAAGTATCATCCTTCATTCGGTTACCATGAATGAATGTAGGCCTACTTTCTTGTTCGCTAAAACTTGGCAAGTGGAAGATCATATTGACGTTTAATTATCTATCAAAATAACTAAGAAAAACTGCAGAGTTGTGGACAAAAGATTTCCTGCTGCTGTATTGTATTTTAGCCGACGAAATCTAACTGATTTTTTGGACAGGTATATTCAGTAGATGCAATGTTCCAAACTTCATTAGAACATCGCGTACGTATTGCGTTTATGAAATCAACATCTTTACCAGTTGTCTTGCCTGCATTCTTCATTTTTTTTACCATTTTTTTTTTCGTAGTCATGTAGACTAATATAATGATCCTTTTGTCTAAAATTTGCATTCATCTAACAGATTATCTTTGTTTCCCGTATCATGTGTTTGAAAAAAAAAGGTACTTATGTATCGAATGTTAACGACAAATGATTCTTCTCATATATATTAATACTACATAAATTAAATCATCCAGTAGGCCTAACAGAATTTCTTTTAATACAGAGTGGTGAAGATGGATACTCTACCTGCATTCGGATTCTCCGGCGTTTTTACGAGTCCCTGTCTTACTCACTCTTTGGTGGCGCTGTCCGAATGAGAAAAACATTAAGGGGAAACGTTGATGGCGCAATACTCATAACAAAAATGAAAAATAAACACACTGTAAACGGAACAAGCTCATTCCAGGTCAATAACTAAGACGCAATTGTACCTCCCTGAAAGGTAGATGGTCAATCGATTATGGAAATGAATGAATTATGAATGAATCTTTTGTTTTGTGTCTAATTGCTCACTTAAAAAAATATCTTTAGCCGAGCTGTTGATATCTTTGCGATAAATCTTCCTAGGACAAAGTTCATCTGATGATAATAACATGGTCGGAGCAGCCTATCTAGGCCTTGTTGGCAGGATAAAGCCATTGTTTGCAAATCAGGTTTATGTTGCAATATCGTAGCAAACGCAATTGCACACAGTGAGTGTCTTTTGATGAGTTCGCATGGAATTGTGTGCCTAAAGGCTCGTTCGCTGGATACCATCATCTACAGGTCTTCATAGTTTAGGTATGTAGGTATATTCTTAAAATGAGTTACAATTGCAATACTTATGAATCCATGACCTACTCACGTTTGACAGCGTATACTCTAAGTTGTTAGTTACTTCGAACCTTGTGCCACTCGCCAGTGCTTAATGATATTATATGAATCTTAAGAAAATAGGAAGTGGATATGTACGTGACCGTTAACAAATCAGTAAAAATAAACGATATAGGCCTATCTAGTCTCTTTTTTAAAATAGTGCATTTATATGGTGTATTTCCTATAGGCCCAATTTTAATATTTATAGTTATAACAGGGAACAGTTAAAAAAATTTCACTGTTCCCTGGTGGTTATAACACTCGGGGAACAGTTAAGTGACTTATTGTTGGCAGTGGCTATCGGCACTGCCGCTGCTGCCGCAGTGCGAAAAAAAGCTGCTGTTTTCTTTCGGTGCTGCTGCAGTGCCAAAAAGCTGGAGTTTTCCATCAGCACTGCCACAGTCGAAAGGTGGAGTTTAATCGATCATGTGATCCACTAGTGAGATCATGTTAAAAGTGTATATCATGTTAAAGACAAAATAAATAATAAGTTGGAAACTGTACTTCTGCATTCTAAATTTTCGCAATCTGTTTCACCCCACTGATAGGTTTTAAAAAAAAATGTGTCTAATAAGATATCTCCAATTTATTAAAAAAAGAAAGTAGAACTAGAAAAACGAAGCTTTACAGATGCTTCTCTTCCTGCTAAACTGTCTGCCAGATGTGATAAACTCCACAGATATAGGCTGCCTTGCAGATGATTATCTAACCTATTCTATTATCAGAAGATTAAATTGTTATACAGTTTGGTGGTGCGGTAGACACAGTCAACACAGTGGTGAATTTTGCAACAGGGTCCAATTATTCCCCAGTTTTTAAAAAACCTATCCATAGAGTTCTCTATGACCTATCCAGTGGTTTGTTCAACTTCATTCAATTCATTTTTAAGATGTTTTGCTGGGTACACAATGAATTTTTTGAATGAAACGTACAGTACATTCAGCAATAAATCTCAACTAATTTTCAAACTGAACTGCCATTAAAAAGTGTATCATTTTGACTTTAATAATTGATAATTATATTTTGTAAATCATGTTCTTCTAATTATAATGTCGCTATTTCTTGTAATTTTGTAGTAGATTTGTATCATATATAGTATTTAAATATTCTAATTAATTTTAATTTATTCTTAATTTACATTTAATTCTTGTGTATTTCAATAAGCTTCTTGTCAGTTTGTTCTGTTTGGTGGTCCTTGTTTGGTTGTTATGTATTATTATACAAGCATTTTAACTTTGTGCTCCACTTGTTATGCCATTTTTATTATACCTAAAATAAATACTTTTTTAGCATATGATACTGTATTAGAAATTGGTGCTTTTCATTGATAAAAACATAGCCTAAATGAAGAAATTGATATCATTTTGAGGATATCTCAGTGTCTTATTGAATATATTTAATATCATAAAACAAAATTACACAATAAAAGTCCATAGCACCCAAAAGCTGGATTGAGGATACACAGAACATACATGAAAACACATTACTGTACTTTATATAACAAGTCATACAAAAATATAATTTAAGCAAGCAAAACATCAAATTTACAAAAAAGAAAAATTTGGTAAAGGTAAATTATTATAAAATAAAAATATCACCAAACATTAACATCCCAGGATCAAAAGCAATCACAAGATCAAAAGACTATTTAAAGATATTTTGTCGTGGGGAGGGAAACCCCCAAAAATCCAATTAACACATTGAAGAGCTAAACTGAAAGAATAATATGCACCTTTACAAATATTATATTAATTTAATTGGTTGAATGCAGGTCACATGGGATTTAATTATATAATGGAGATGTAGCTCGTAGCTTCCAATCCCAGGGTCCTGGGTTTAAAACCTTTGACAGCACAGGATTTTTTCTCACGACTAAAACACATCTGCACTACCTAAGATTCGTAATGAGACTTTAGTTGATAGATTATTCCATTCATAAGAGAGCCCCTGAATATCATCTGACCTCCTAGGACAGGGGTGGGTATTAAAATTGATCGGTGGGCCAAAGTGAATTTTTGTTTCAACTCGAGGGCCACACCTAAACTTTGATTGTTCAGTATACTTCCAAAAACCCTCATACACTGTTTTATGGCAACTTTATGCTCAGTTTTACTATAACTTTTTACAGATGATTGGCGCCGGGCCGAAAAAACAAGATGTTTTCTAGCCAAATATGGTTTTGTGGGCTGCAAAAAAAACACAGTCGGGCCACACACAGCCCACAGCCCGTACATTGCCGACCTGTGTCCTAGGATGTGCTGGGAATGTTTCCATCTAAAGTTATGTTTTTTTAACAAAATTTTAAAATGCAAAAAAAGAAAAAAATTCTCAAGTGCAATGCAAGAAAAAATTAGAATTATTTTTTTTTCATATTCTGAGTTTTAATTGAAAGTTAATAATTTACTTTAAAAAACCATGATTCATGAATTTTTCTTACATCTACTGGTACTGTTTAGATTGTGGAAAGACAATTTGAGATGAGTCGTATGTGTAAAAGTGCAATTATAGGCTTCAGTTGCCTCGTATTCATCACATTCCTAGCATGGTCTGCTAGCAATCCTGCGGAATCTACTAAACAGTTGTAAGTATTTTACCCTATTTATTTAGGTATATCATGGTCAGGGGTGAATACAGGATTTATAAAAAAGGTGGGGGGGTGGGAGATGCACAATTGATGTTTCGTAAATGGCGAGTATTTTTGTTGCTGAGTGGTGAGGCCCCAAGGTGGGGTGGGTTTCGAAGTTTGGGAGTCCCACCCCTCCTTTGATAAGAACAGTTTAAAAATCGAGACCTTGAAGGTGTTTATATATTGGTACTGTATTTGTCTTTAACAGGACGCTGTTGGTGAAGTTATTTCAATTAGCTATTGTTCATGTTGTATAATGTTAAATTTCCTGCTGATTAATTAATACAAACAAGTTGTACTGAGTCTGGTTAAAGACAACTTCATTTCTTGCTTCGACAATGTTAATGAAAATTTTTATTTATCTAATTCATTTCGGCAACAACAACAATTACAAAATCAGAACAAATACAAAGCTGAGGCTGGACTAAATAAAGACAACTTGATTTCAATTGCTTCGAATAATGTTTAAAAAAGTGAAAATTAATTTTTTTAAATATTTTTTTTAATTTTATTCATTTTAGGCAACAAAAACAATACAAAATCAGAACAAATACATAAAAGCCAAGGCTGGACTAGATTAAGACAACTTGTTTTCTTGCTTCAAACAATGTAAAAAAAAAGAAATATAATTTTTTGAATTTTTAAAAAATTGTATTCATTTCGGCAACAAACAATACAAAATCAGAACAAATACGTAAAAGCTGAGGCTGGACTGGATAAAGACATCTTGATTTCTTGCTTCGAACAATGTTTTAAAAAATTATTTTATTTATTTATTTTTGTTATTCATTTCGGCAACAACAAAACAAAATCAGAACTGGACAAATATAACTTGATTTCTTGCTTCGAACAATGAAAAAAAAATGACAATTTTTTTATTATTATTTTTTTTTATTCATTTCGGCAACAACAACAACAATACAAAATCAGAACAAATGCATAAAAGCCAAGGCTGGACTGGATAAAGACAATTTTGATTTCTTGCTTCGAACAATGTTAAAAAAAATGAAATTTTTTTTAATTTGTTTTTTTTTTTATTCATTTCGGCAACAACAACAATACAAAATCAGAACAAATCATAAAAGCCGAGGAAAACCAGAAGTATAAAAACACTGTCACCGGTAAGTTGTCCTACTCCAGAATTTCAAAAAGATAAACAACAGGAATAATAAAATAGAAACAATAAAATTCAAAATACACTATGACACTTAAAATATTGCTTTAAAGAAAGTTTTATAAGAGCCATTAACGTTAAACATACAATTCATCGATCTCTCTGGGGACGGAATTCCAGGTTCTGGTGAATCGGGTAAGAATACAGAATTTAGACATTGTTGTTGAGCGTAAATGCATCTGAGGATTTCATGCCGGTTAATAACGTCTAACAAATTATAATTAATAGAATTTTGGTAAATTAAAATATTGCATACAAACAGAACAGTGAAATAATCCCTGATGGCATTGGTGGTCGTAATATGAATAGTGCCTAGTCTTCCCTCATACGACTGTTCAAGGATATGTTGATGTAAAATCAAACCGGAAGCCCTTTTCTGAATTTCCTCAATCATTTGGATCTGAAATTTTCGATAGTGATACCACACCTTACAGCGATACTGAAGATGAGGGTGGACTAGGCCCTGATACAGTCTAAAGAGAACAGTTGTAGAACAACCCCTAGCAATTGCTCTAACAACACTCAATTAGCAATTGCTCTAACAACACTCAATTAGCAATTGCTCTAACAACACTCAATTAGCAATTGCTCTAACAAAACTCAATTAGCAATTGCTCTAACAACACTCAATTAGCAATTGCTCTAACAACACTCAGTTAGCAATTGCTCTAACAAAACTCAATTTTTGATTGCACTTTTTTGAGACTTTGTGAAGTTGTTTCTGTGAAGTTGTTTCGACCAAGAGAGGTCATTGGATATGGAGCTCAGTTTTAAATGCTTAACCCGTACTTATCCGAGGTTAGAGATTTCCCCCTGTTAATAACTAAGACATTACATTTACTAGGGATTAATACAAGATTATTGAACTCTCTGCAGAGATCTAATATGGTGAATTAAATGAAATTTGGGAAAGACCTACAGTACAACGATCATCAAATGAATGATGTTTTTTGGAGGTGCCAAAGAGGGGATGCAAAACCGCCTGAGGCCGCCTCTCTCCTTCCCCCCACCCCCTCGCTTTGTTCTGTAAATTTTCATCTGATCATGGTAATGAAAATATTAATAAGACTAGAAATTGCAAATTGCAAGTGAAGTGCTGCGAAGTACAACTGCATATTAATGTTCTTCGATCAAAATTATTTATGCGAGTCAAGTGAAAATAATGAATAATAAAAATATAACAAATAATATGAGACACGACCCATTGTCTATATTAGAACACTTCTCATTGGGTAACAAAGTCGTAATTTTTCATTTTTGTCAAAAAGTGTCTATAGTGGTGAATTATGGTTTAGTTTTTTTAAAATAAAGTTTCAAAAATTTCTGTGTATGTGGAAAATGTAGTTAATTACCAAAGGTTACAATTTTTATTTTGAAGACTGCATGGTCTAGGAAGTCGATTCATATGAATAATATATTTTTAAAATAGTCTCTCTTAACATCCTACTTTCATCCCTAGCACCACTTCCAGAATAATAGTATAGCAAAGTGCAATACAGGGTTCTTGAACCAAATTAACAGTTTTTAATATCTGAACACAAAGCTTACCCTCTATTTCACTGTCCTCCTGTAGGCCCCACCAATAATTTGCAAAGAAGTTTGAAAATTGATTTTGAAAAAACAACTGGCTGATGAATCTTTAGTTGGCTATTGTTTATTTGTGGTCGGAAGGTTTTATATCTGTCTCTTATACACATCTAGATGTGTATAAGAGACAGGCACATTCATGTCTGCATGGGACCAGATTACTAATCAGTCATTATTCAAATAGTAACCACAAGGTCAGGATTGAAATCTTATTAACTATTCTATCTGTTAAAGGGTAAGAGACATTATCTGTGTTTGTCTCGTTCTAACCAGACAACTGGTAACTTACCTGATAATAATAGTCTTTTATAGTGTTTAATATGAACTCAATTTTTATATTATTACAATTTGCCTATCAAGGTTTTTGAAGGGTGGGGTGGGGTGAGGGAGATACTGAATAAGAAATACAGTCTAAGACCCCTCCAAATTAAGACCACCACCAAATAAAGACGACTTTTCTGTGGTTAACAAATGTCTTTTATTTTTAATATTCTAATTAGAGACCAAAGCTGATGACAGTGAACCCCCCGGTCCCGAAAGTGGTCTTTAATTGGAGGGAGACCTGCATTTACTGCACTTTAATCAAGGCACAAAAATAGGACAAAGCAAATCAATGGCATAAATTGGTTGCCAATGTCTGAAATAATTTGCTATTTATTTACATTAATTATATTCCTTTTTATCATGTTTGAACAAAAGAGGGGGTGCTCAGGCACTGTGAGCACCACTGCTTATGCCACTGTTATTATCCCTAGGAGGAGGAGGAGATTTTAAGACAACTGATGCTTGTGCATTCGTCAAACATGAAATCACTGCATATGATGCTATATTGATTGATTATTTTTCATGTCATTAAAGATTGTCAATGCCATTTGAAGAAGACCCTGATCATGTGATTACCAGTAAAAAAGGCGATGGTGTAAACGCACAGGACGTGTACAGGAAAAAACCGGACAACATTAATTATCAGGGTATGGGTAATAACAAAACACCGGTGAACGGAATCAAACAGGAATTGAATGTATATCCAGTGGAAAGAGGAAGCAATGGATTAAATGGGCAACCACAGGAAGGTTTTGCCTCCAAAAGACCAGAAACATTTTTCAGTTCACTGAATTTAACGTAATTTATATTTTTTTATTTTATATTATCCTTTTCTATGTTGATATTGCCTCCCCTCTTGAGGAAAAGCTTGACACACATTTCAGGGGTGGATCTGGAATATTGCAAATGGGGGAGCGGGCGGGGAGGGGGAACAATATTTTCAGAAAAAAAATTATTAGCATCTTTATCCACTCTTCTCTATTAAGTACTTTCTCTTTTAATTCATACTATTTGTTTCCATTTTTTAGCCTGTCCAATAATTTTGTTCTTTACCTTCCTCTACCTTGCACCATCATATCTTCTCTGACAATTTAAAACAATCCTCATTTTCTAATACAAAGGCCAATCCATCTCTTTTGTTGTTCTGTTATTTGTTTCATTATCTGTCTTTCTTCTGCCAAATGGATCAAGAAAAATTACACAAACAGAATTCCAATTGGTACTATATCAGGAGTAAGCATAAAAATCTGTCGGAGGGCCAAAGTTAATTTTTTATTTAACACCGAGGGCCGCACCCAAACTTACGTTTCCAGTGAGCTTCCAAAAACCTCTAAGCACTGCTTTTACATCACTTTATTCTCAGTAATTATGTTACTTTTTACTTATGATTGGTGTCGGGTCTAAAAAACAAGATGTTTTCTAGCCAATTTTGATTGGAGGGCCGCAAAAATAGGGTTTTTAATTCATTGTCGCGGCCCACAAAAAAATTGCTGACGGGACGCATGTGGCCCGAGGTAGTAGGGCTAGGTCAGGGGTTGGCATAAAAATCAGTCGGAGGGCCAAAGTGAATTTTTGATTTAACACCAAGGGCCGCACCCAAACGTTGATGTTTCCAGTAAGCTTCCAAAAACCTCCAAGCACTGCTTTTACATCACTTTATTCAACAAGGTGTTTTCTAGCCAGTTTTGACTGGCGGGCCGCAAACATAGGGTTTTTAATTAATTGTCGGGGTCGCAAAAAAATCACTAACGGGCCGCACTTTGCCCACCTGTGTACTATATCAACTATTAAGAGACATGACAGCTCAGGATTCATAATTTGGAAGAAGTCATTTCCGGAAGATCTGTTTTGTGGTGCATATTGGATTGCTGATATGCATAGTTACTGAAGCACTATGGCCATTGTTATTATTGTTACTAATTAAGTTAATTGATTCTGTAAGTTGAAAGAAACCCTACAACATACAATAACTGAAGGTTTGGTTTCAAGCTATAGAATTAATTAATGTATTAGCGTATGGAAACCAATAATTATCCATTGTCATTTTTATTGTTAAATACAGACATATTAAAGCTAGTTGTTGTTGTTATCATTACCATCAATATTCTTATTGTTTTATAATCATATTAGGAATATGAACTTTGATATAATAAAATACAATATAGAAGTTCGAAATGCTAACACCAGTAACATATGCTTTATACATTAATGAAGAAAAAGAAAAATTAAATAAATAAAATAGTTAAACGTTATTATTATATAATGTATATTATATATATTAATATTATATTATATTATTTATGAATTTATCACCATTTGACCAATATATCACTGTAAAACCTCACATAAAATTGTCTTTTATAAATGGAGTACGTAAGAGTTAATATTTTCATTTTTAATCTCATATTTTTTTAAATATTGTCTTTCAGGTTTGCAGATATCCATCTAGAAAATAACTCAATACCCACTGACATCTTTATACAAGCATGTCTGCAGATGGGACCATTTCTTGGTAAGTTTTAAGACCTTAATTTGGACTGAAAAGTGAAAACTTGGACAGCATTCTATTGTCCTAGGGAGGGTGTTTGCTATATTTTTGTGCATTTTGAAGGAAAGATGTAGAGCATGGGCATTAAAGTGGGTCGGAGGGTCAAAGTGAATTTTTGATGTAACACTGATGGCAGAAACAATGACGTTTCCATAAAAATCTGCATGCACTACCTTTATTCACCGATCGTAAAAACAAGGAATTTTTTTTAGCTGAAGATGGTAGGCTGGCTGCACAAATAGGGTTGTCGCTAGCTGCAACAAAATTGCCAAAGGGCCACACATGGCCAGCAGGCCAAACTTTGCCCTCCTGTGATGTAAAGTACCAACAAATGTTTATACTATCAACAACTGACTCCTGAAAAGAAAGCTGCTAAGGCAGACCTTTAAATGAAACATTTTCATTGAAGAATTTGCACCTAAAGTGCAAGGAAATTGTTAGAGTGCTTGATTATCCCCTTATCCTTCAGTCATAGTAGTAGGATGGAGTTCAATAACTTGGTGGTTAAACGTGCCTTCTAATGGGTTCAGTTCCTGTGACCGCAGAATAACAGCTCTATTCCTCAAGCCTCATTTTGAGCCTAGCGTATACGCTATAAGCATAGGAATAACAGTAAATTTATACTAACGATTCATATGAATAATATATTTTTAAAATAGTCTCTCTTAACATCCTACTTTCATCCCTAGCACCACTTCCAGAATAATAGTATAGCAAAGTGCAATACAGGGTTCTTGAACCCAATTAACAGTTTTTAATATCTGAACACAAAGCTTACCCTCTATTTCACTGTCCTCCTGTAGGCCCACCAATAATTTGCAAAGAAGTTTGAAAATTGATTTTGAAAAAACAGCAGGCTGATGAATCTTTAGTTGGCTATTGTTTATTGTGGTCGGAAGGTTTTATATACTGTAGGCGACCAAATTATAAAAAATAATCAACTAAGTCTCGCAAATGTAGAAAATGCTAATCAATTTTCTTGAGGGCCTTTGACTTCGACTGGGGTCCTCGGTGACCTCTATTACCCAAGCCTAAGTTTGTCACTCCCTCTCAAAGTACTTTTAAACTGTGCTGCCCTCTATGGCCTAATTGGAGGCCTTTGATTTTTTTTTTTTATTGTTTTTGAGATTTTATATTGATATTTTATTATGTATTTTTACTTAAATTTATTTGTATTTTTCATCAAATTGCAATAAAGTTTTATCGTATTCGTTTTAGACCGCCCCAAATAAGGGTACACTGTATGTGCCAGATTATTCACCCTGTTGTCAGCCTTAAACATCCTACTGTATGCATTGTGGTTATATCATTTATTGCATTACAGTATAAGCAAATGTATAATTTAAAGTGGATTAGGATTTTTTTTAATCAAGCTCCATTGTTTGCATAGATTGTGCCTACACACAGAGATAAGTATACCCTTGGCTTTCTGTCTTTGCTAGTAGTACTTAATCTTGCTTTAACTAGGTCATGAAAAACATCAGTTGGGGCCCCTACTCGCTGTAAAACTCAATTTCTGTAGGTCAGTAGATGCTAACCAGGTAAACGGGTGAGTTAGTGAATAATTAAGTAACTTTCTTAATAGATAATAGATAGATTACTTTTTTTTCTCTGATTAAAAAAATTAATAAACTTTATATGATTATATTGTGCGAATTTTATTTATATTTCTTTTTTTCACAGGCAAACTTGGTTCAGGAATATCTCTCATTAAAAAAGAGGTTGAAAGTAATCTTCATGTAAGTATGTAATCAAAACATTTTAGTCAAAATATTTAAAAGTATAATGAAAGTATAAATAGTAGCTTATGTTGCTTAACTTACTACAAACTTTTTCAAATTATTTGATAAAACATCACAACGATCGCATTGGCCATGACTTCTGTCAAGTACATATGCGGAAGCAATCTTTTTTTCTGCTGGTAGGATGAGCCTATTGCAAGTTCTAACATAATCACTACGCAACCTACAGTACCTGCAGAAAGAAAAAACTAAAAAAAAAAAGAATCTATTAATCGATCAACCGAATAAAGAATCTATTAATCAATCAGGCGAGTTCTACTAAAGCTCCTCAATGAATCTAAAAACAAATAAATACAATGTTCGATTTTATCCAAAGTTATTTATGTTTTCCCAAGTTATTAAAACATACTATACATTATTTGGCCAAAACAAATTGATTTATTTGCCTTGCGATTGTTGCATCGTAGCCTTTTATGTAAATATATTCCTTAATATTTCTTATTTTAAAAAAAGTGATTATTGATGATCATCGAAACCATTTTTACCATATATTCATCCACAGTTTTAAAAACATTTCTACAATATGGATGAGGCACAATTTATCTGTCATGCCAGTGCTTATAACTGTAGTTGGATTTATATATAGCACTTTACACCGAAATGGTCTCAAACCGCTAGAGGTGTGGACTAGCTTGTACAGTTACTTGCTTCTCCCCTAAGGGTCTCTTCGTGCCTGAGCTACCTGGTAGACCGGTACCAGCTACTCTCGCCTGTCCACAACTGGGGCTGCATGGACCAGTACACTGGGGTAATCCCCCTACTCATCTTGAAAGATGTACTGGGTTCTTCAAAGTGCACATGAGCCAAATTGTGTAAACTGAGTCTATGGTTTATATTCCTTATCCGAGAAGACTTGTTACACCTCCAGAACCATGATAGGCAGGTGTGCTGTTGTGCTGTTCCATTCGGCCGTCCAAATTTACACTTGGATGCAAACACACTCCTCTTCTGCTGTCATTTAGAGGGCATGGTTTACAACAAAATGTTATCCAACCAATGATCATATGACTGTGGATGAATAATATATTGGCAATATATGAAACTTTTGTAAAGTTTACCTTAAACAATTTTTATTATCACTTTTACTAACTAACTAAATCCTTTCCGAGCCACTGGGGCTCATAGGGCTGGAGCTTATCACCAATTTCTGTAGTGTGAAGCGGATGAGAGTTGTACTCCCCCTGGACGGGACACTAGTCCGTCGCAGGTTAATCCCCAGCAGTTTGCTGGTACCCATTGATACAGCTTGGTGGACTGAATCAATGTAGCTAAAGTGCCTTGCCCAAGGACACAAGCGAATCTGTACTTTTACTTTATGTTTATCTTCATTTTTTCAGTTAATATTAAAACTTTTCTTTCTCTTAGGATATCAATAGAAAATTTTTGGAGGACAAGGAAAGCTACCACACGCTGCAAGCTATGATATTATCGGAAATTGATTCAGGTGATGTTATGAAACACCACACCTGTAGTAGGTCTCTCAGGTGGATTAGAAGGTAAGTCTAATATCAGGGCATGATTGATAGCTTAAGGCCACGCTTCCCAAACTATGGGTCGCAACCCAAAAGTGGATCGCCAAACTTTTGCAGTGGGTCGCCAGCAGGTTTGCAAAACGATTTTAAAAAATTGAGTCAGTCAGGCTTGGGCCACACCACGTATTGTTTTACTTTATAAGTATTTCATTCCAAGTCTCAAATATTATGTCCCCCCCCCACACCTCATATCACCTTATTTTGCCAGTTAGTTCCCCCTTCCCCAAACCTTCCCACTAAACCTTTACGCCCTCATCAGCCATCAGCATCCCCTGCCCAACTTCTTGCTACTGTAAAGGAAATCCTTGCCGAGCCACTAGAGCTCATAGTGCTGGAGCTTATCCTAATATGTAGTGTGATATGCATGAGAGTAAAATACTCCCCCTTGGTGGGACGCTGGCCCACCACAGGTTACTCCCACAATTTTCTGGTACCCATTGGTACAGCTGGGTAGACTGAAGTAATGTAGATAAAGTACCTTGCTCAAGGACATAAGCGATATGCACAGTGAAGGATTGAAGAGACCTTTAAGGGAGAAGAAAGTTACTGTGCGAGCTATTCCACACTGCAAGCGCTTTGATACATCGGTATACTGAGCTATATAAATCCAGCCACATTACATTACATTACCTTAGAATTATTAAGGAAGGTAATCTCAGTAAACTGAGGGAGCCCCAGTAATGTATTTGACCGCTCACAGTCACTGAGAGATCCATAGGAACTACAGTATGACATAAGCCTCAGTTACTAGTTTTCTGAAACCTAGGCCTAGGACACTTAATTATGTAGTGAATTACTGGGACATAGCTTGACATAAGCCTTAGTTACTAGTTTTCTGAAACCTAGGCCTAGGGCACTTAATTACGGAGTGAATTAGTGGGACATAGCTTGACATAAGCCTCAGTTACTAGTTTTCTGAAACCTACGCCTAGGGCATTTAATTACGGAGTGAATTACTGGGACATAGCTTGACATAAGCCTCAGTTACTAGTTTTCTGAAACCTAGGCCTAGGGCACTTAATTACGGAGTGAATTACTCGGACATAGCTTGACATAAGCCTCAGTTACTAGTTTTCTGAAACCTAGGGCTAGGGCACTTAATTACGGAGTGAATTACTCGGACATAGTATGTCCTAGGTCAGAGGTTATCTCGGTGGATATAGCTCCTATCCACCGAGAAGATGACCTCTGACCTAGGACATAGCGGATGAGAGTAAAATACTCCTCCTGAGAGTAAAATACTCCCCCTGGGTGGTTACTCTCATCCGCTAGGACATACAGTAGCTTCTATTCACCTAGAAGATGACCTCTGACCTAGGACATCAGTAGCCCATCATTCACCACTTATACAAAGACACAAGTAAAAAATTGTATTTCAACAGGTATTCTTTAATAATATGGTAGATTGCTTACATATGTCCAAATAAATTTGTTTAAGATATCTACTATATGTCATATTTGGTTATGGAGAATATTCAAAATATGTATGAAATGTATGAAATAACATTTTTATTTTTTTTTTTCAGAATGTTTGAGTTCATTGCTATCTTTCTTGAGAAAATAGCAACAGGAGAAAAGGATATGTCAGCAGCTGGACGTAAGTATTTTATTTTTTTTTATCAATTCTCAAAGAAGTAGCAATTAGTTAAAGGAATATTTATTATTATGGTAAAACCTATACCTGAAAATTAGTAACCCATGCTTTTATAACCTACAATAAAATCTGTAATAATGACCCACTTCTCAAATATTAAACTAGTGGGGTTACCATTGGAGTGACAAAATGTATGCACAATTATAGGCCTAAAAATACTAAATCAACATTTTGTCTTTTTAATCTTACAATGTCTGTAAAACAACTGCGTACCATTATTATACAATTATACAATTTGTTTTGAGTACTGTATAATAAATAACAATCAAGTATCTTATAGAGTACTACAGCGTTATGTCACGATACCATGTGATACTACTCTGTTGCTATTATTGCAAAATGAGTTCAACCGGATGCCATTTTCCCCACTGACAAACCATTGATCCCAATTTCTAATGTAATTATTAAGATGTTGTATCTTAGTTTGTCCTTGTAAATTTTGATTGATGATTAAATGTGTGTTCGATAACTAAGGCTACGGTCACACTAGCGTCTCGAGCCTGGCTTGACTCACCGCGGGTGAGATTTCAAGCCAGGCTCGAAATTCTGGGTCGGTCACACTAGTTGGATTGACCTCTAAATTATGAAAGTCGAAACAGCAGAGCCGTAAAGAGAGAGTTTCGCCAATGTTTCACGGGATTCGATATACGCCCGTGTGATTGGGTGGATCGCAATCAAAGATTTTACACCAGACGTGCCCGAACCACTCTTCTTCAACTGATCTTTTATCAGCTTGTATTAGGCTCGCAATGCCTTCGCTTTTGTTTGAATTTGGGCCGTCGTTCTCTTCTCATGTCCGAGACTGGCTAATCTGTCAGCAAGCACGCCAAAACAAGTTTTGTTGTTTGTTTTTTTATTTTCTATCCGGTCTCTCAGCTCGGGTTGGCCCCACAAATCTACCAGGTCAGCAGTTTCCTGGTCGCTCCAAATCAATCGCATTATTATTACTTAAAATTTGAATTAACTTTTATCAAAGGTAATGATTGCGTTTTGATTGAACACACATGAAGAACTTGCAGGTTTTTAATTCAAGAACTTCTAAACGCAACGGCGTCATCGACTGTAATTGGTCGACAGCCGACGATGAAATGTCAATCTCGGTCACGCCAGGGTCAATCCAGGGTCAATATGGGTGCTGAGACGGGATCGAGATAGGTAGATTGAGATCGAGGTCACGCCAGGCGCGAGTCGGTGCAGATGTGGTCACATTACGAAAATCTCACCCGCGGTGAGTCAAGCCAAGCTTGAAACTCTAGTGTGACCGTAGCCTAATATAATGCAAGCTTTAGTGTTTTTAGTACATTTTGATGGTAAAATATTAGATTTTAAAATGCATTAACCAGAAAGTCTATGAAGTCATTCAGGCGTAATGAACGGTAACCAACATCTGGTTGGCAACAGAGGGTGCCACCTGGCATTGTGTCGACACGACTGGGGTACTCTATTTGTATACTTTTATTTGTGTGAGTTAAAAGATACGAGAAGCATGATTCGGTTTAATTTTTCAATGCCCAATTTATGCTTAATGAGTTATTTATTTACTTTAAATATTTATTTGTTATTTAGTATTTATAGCATGTTTCCTTTAGATTACGAAGCGCTTTGTTTTCTTTAGTCATTTGGTCCACATGAAGTGTTGCTGCCATATTGGCGCAGTAGCAGGCAAACCCCACCCGGTACACGTTTATACTCCTGGGTGGAGAGAAGCCATGCAAATAAAGTGCTTTTTTCAAGGACACCTGCGAGGTGCACAGCGAGGGATTGAAACCCCAAACTCCAGGTTGGGATCCCAAACCATTTCCACAGCGCCTAAGTGCTTCCGGCGATGAGCGGCACAGTTCTCTATTAATAACCCATTGTAACCAACCTTAAGCTTTGTCTACACTATCAAATTTCATGTGTCAAAAAAAATGTGATGTGCCCATATATGGGTACGATGACATCATATCAACTAACTAACAACTTGTATCAAAAAAAGTATCACATTTTGATGAGACGCTTTTTTGATGAAATTTGATAGTGTAGACAATGCTTTAAATACCAAACAATGGAATAGAGACCCAGGGTTTCTATCAGAAAATTTACAGTATATCAGAATCTGTACATACATCAATATCAAATCCAACAGATATAGCATAACAAAAATATCATATTTTATATGAAATAAAGTAGAACCCCTCCTTTGGGACACCCCTATTAAGGGGATATCCATATTAAGGGGACATTTTTTTTGCCACGAAATAAGGGAAAGTATATCTTTTAACACTTCGGAAGACCCCTATTCAGGGGACATTAAAAGGGTTTTACTGTATAATAGGTGTAAATTGCTTTCTTTGATAGGAACTTATAATAATCTATGATCTGAAGTACCTTATTATTTTTCATTTTGTAGGTTATGCATATCAACAGTCTATTTCAAAGTATCACAACTTCTTTATCAGAAAAGCTATTTCAGTAAGTAAACATTACCATTCTCAGTGTTTTAAACATATGTTATTTCCAGGCAAAATAAAAGTATAAATAGGACTGAGGCCATTTTATATTTATTTTTTTCAATTTAACTAGACATTTAATTAAATTTAATGCAAGAATGTATAATAAACAATTAAAATAATTCAATGAAAATAATTAAATTTATTTTTATTATTAATTGATTTTGGCAATATGTAAGCATACCTTTAAACTGCATTCAAGCTCAGTATTACAATGTGCATTTTTTTCTAAAGCATTTCAAATTAGTTGCATCTGTAAAATTACAGTGAAATGCAAAAAAAACCTAATATAATATTTTCTCAAGGTTGATAGACTGAAAACCCACTGACCTTCACAGGTTGAGGTCTATTATTAGTAGTATGAACTCTCCACATTGCCCTCACCAATACCATTGCAGTGCTTCAAGATTATTTTACAAAAGGATTTTTATCAATTCTAGGAAGAAAAGCCCTTTGTCCTGTTTTACAAAAATAAATAGTAAGTCTAGTTATTAACCTCCGTTTTTGGTATGTGTGTAAATATGCTAATTGCACATTTGCATAATTAATATTTTACTAATCAGGTAATTTAGGCTAGTTATCCGATAACTAATGTTTGGTAAGTCTGGTTTCAAACTATGCACAATGCAAGATGTTAATAAGAAGATGGCGCCTATTTTTTTTTTAGTACGTGTGTGAATATGCTAATTGCTCAATTGCATAATTAATATTTCACTAACCAGAAAATTTATGCTAAAAACTATCCTAATTCCCAAAGAAAATTTCTAATTTAGGTAAAATAATTTTTTTTTTATCATTGTCACAGTTTCAAACTGATAAGTGTCATCTCCTACTTACCATTTTTCAGAAAAAAAATCACATTGTGGGGAGGCTACAGTATACTTTAACTGTGCAGTGCCAAAGTACCATTTCTAGTTTTTGATTATGTTCAAATATTATTTAATTTTTATTGTTTCAGACTGGTATGAGTATGTTGCCAAAGTACAGCACGTTTCTAATCAGCATGAGTGTTGACCGAGCAGATGCCGATAAACCCAACTTTGAACAAGTATTCAGCCAAGATGTATTACATTATGTTTCAACTTTGAAACCAATATGCAACAATATTAAACAATTTTACACAGATCACAAACTCTCAAACTGAAAATAGGAAACATTTAATGCAATATTTAATTATTTTTTAATATTTATATAATGCATATTATGTGCTTTTATTTTATTGATATTCAACAAAATTGAGATTCCCAAAACTATTTGTTTTTAACTCTTCTTGAGTGAGACGTGAATTTACTGACAGGAAAATGCTCTTTCCATGTATATTTTCATTACAGTACCGTTCGCGGGCAGTGCACTTTTTGATAGCATTTTGCCTGCAGGAATTGCGAATCCACATCCACTAACTGTCCGCACTGGCAAAGCCAGCCCGCAGTGCCTGCTGCCAAGATTTTAGAAATGAACATTATATTGATTGAAAGCTGCCAGAGGCGCCAGCGGTCTGGACTAAGCACACGATATGTGTGTATCTGTACAAAAAAATGTTTGGATCATAATTTTAACCCATAGATTATAATTACAGATAGGCCTAATAAGGTAAATTTGTATTCGAATCATCGACATGATCTCAACAGAAACATATATATACGTTTTAGATATGTATGCCTGTATATTATATTGATACATCATATTTTGTCAATACATAGGTCTGCAATACAATGGAGTTAGCCTGCGGGAAACATTGTGTGTGCGGTGTCCGTAGTGCTCACGGTCTGTACATTACAGTATGCCAAAAATGGGCAAAGAAAAAACTAACCCCTCAGTTTGCCCACAGACAGTGTGTCCGACGAAGTTGACTGTCCGTACTATAATTTGATATTGCCTAAATCACCTGTCTGTGTTTATATGAAATTTTATATACGATCAATTTAACAAAACAGCATTATTCATAAGTGTTTGTGTCATAAAGTGTATACAAAAAAATTTTTAAATTTTTCACCTGCATTTATATTTTACACAATTCATGCAATTTTTAAATGTTAAATTTGAGACAATACATCCCTGGTTAAATTTACAAAACAAAATTCTTAGATTTGTTTTTGCATTGCCAGATTTAAAGAGACCCAGCTAGCTTGAGCCCTCTCCCCCTCTGCCCATCTTTCCCCACTCCCCTCTATATTTTAGAAAAAGCAAAATAAATGGATAAAAAAAAATACACTTAAATTTAAGCGCCATTTCAACCCATCTAATAGTACCATAAATATAAAAATAGTATGACAGCCCCAACCATGCTAGAGTTTGACCCATCACCCTGCGAAATTCACTCTGTGGGCTCCTGGATCCGCCACTGTCTTGCATTACGTTTGTGGCCCTACATTATTTCATAATCCCCCCCCCCCCACCGATAGGTTTGTCAAAATTATATATTGAAGATAAAGGAAAATTCTATTCAAATTTAACACTGGGAGTGCCATTTCTGGCCATCTTGAGGTGCCAAACCATAATTTTTCTTACCTCAGCTACCAACTGAATTAATGTATGCTTTTCTGGGTTTTCTCAAGGTATTGTATCATAATATGCAATTATTTGTGCCAAATTTGAAGTCTCAGGGACTACTTTATTTTAATCATAATTGATTGTTGTCAAAGGTTTTCCTTGTCAATCAATAAGTTTTTATTTGCCAAAATATGTTAAAATCAATGTTCTTATGGAAATTATTTTTGAGTTGTTTTTTTTTGTGTATTTCTATTTTGCATATTTGTGTTGAGATGACTTGTGTGAATGACTTAAAGTCTTATTCAGACTATAACATTTTGTTTGACAAAAGCATGAGACATGCCTAAATATTATATGGTCATGATAATATCACATTGTATCATGACTATATATAGGCACATGACTATATATGGGCCTACAATTATGTATTGTCAAAGAAAATTTGATAGTCTTAGCACAGATCTTTATATTACGTATGAAAAGCCAAAAACTATAATAAGTAATAATTTTAAGTAATAATAGTAATAGCCTATTTTTCAGGCAAAATTGAATTGTTCTCTGCAGTGGAGACTCAGAAATGAGCTGATATTAAACTATTAACACAATAATACTGCAATAGAATACCAAATCACTCCGCTAAACTGCCTAATTTCAAATAGTGTTTAAAGACTGTGACACTATGATGAGTATAATATATGTTGGCTTTTGCTTATAAATTTTACAAAATATTGTTACCGGTACAGCAGGTGCGGATCCTGAAATGTCCAAAACGCAGGGCTGAAAGGGGCCCGATTGACTGACAACACCACCATTTGAGTTTTGTTTTCTAGACACCCGGAAATAACCTCTAAGACGTTTTGATTTCACTAATTTCTCTCTCTTTTTTCTTTCTCTTTTTTTTTATTTTCCAAAAGGGGAGAGGGGAATTCGACCCTGTACATAATTGTGATGCATATGATTTAACCATCTGTAAAGTCGAGTAAGAAATAGTTTGTCTTAGTAGTCATAAAGTAGGGCTCTGTAGATTGTGTATTGATCGAATAAATACTGTTCATGCAAATGAATATGAAGTTACAATGTATTATTGAAGTCAACTTCAGAAATGTCTTAAGCAAAGGCATTTGCAACATATTTATTAATTTATTTTTCAACATTGAATGCTGAAGACCAGCGGCAGGAAATATCAATGGTGGATAAATATTAAAGCTTTTTCATTTCGTATTTTCATGAATTTTTACTTTTGGTACAATACACCTAGACTTGCCACAAGTCTCTAATTTATGGATTTTTCGTAGTACATTAGCGCATTTCGGAAAGCGCCACCGGCGTCAGTTTATGTTGAGAAACTTTTTTGATGAGAATTAATTCCAGAAAAAGTATACTATGGAACGCCATGCAAATAAGTAATATGGAACGCCATTTGTGCCAAAATCGATTTATTCTTAAGCATTTCAACTGGTTAAGACAAAGATTAGGGACTGGAACCCAGTCTACAATACACCTAACATAGGCGTATTTCGGTTTAGTAAATACTGTCGTATTGGGGTCTATGTTAACTCGTAAGAGAGGATAGAACTCAAATTATATTTAATAGACTTTACAGTTTCTTGTTATCCTTTACTGTACATTACCATCAATCGAACATACAAAGTGTGTTAACTCTATTAAGTGTCACTTGTTCTAAGTATTTTCTATAAGATTCTATTCTGATTCTAATATTCTTCTCTCTTCTAAGTATTCTTCTGATCTCCTAATCACTTTACTAATCGCTCTTGTAATCATTTATAATCTCTCTTCTATCTAACAATTTCATTCTCTATATATGTGGAACCAAATGGGAGAAGCTATATAAAATCCAAGCAGTTGTATCTAGGAGATGCGCACGCCCCCAAAAAATTAGTTGTTTCCCCCAGTGGGGTGCCCTTCCCCGATCACTTGCAAGTAGTTAAAAATTAACTAAAAGCACCTTATTTTGCGAGTTAGCGCCCCTCAACTGATCATCGAGCCCCTCACTCAACTGATCATCGAACTCCCCACTTCATCTTCACGCTTCCCCCCCCTCCCCCCCCCCCCCACTCCCAGCAGCACTCCCATTTCAAGACTTTGGATACGCCATTGATTCCAAAATGATCAATGACACATTATTAACTCATCAACTACCTAGGTGAATAACCTTAGTTACGATGAGGCCAATTGGTGTTTTTTTTTTATAGTGCTCTCTTTATTTTTGCTATAGAAAACGTATTGTCTACCCCAAAAGATCGGAAAGAAACCTAAAAATATTAAAAGTTTGAATAGCACTTATTAATGATCAATTAGGGTATTTACTTCTAATCAGAAACAGATCGAACAAAAACAATTTCGCCTTCGCTTTTACTTCAAAATTCCTTAAATTGATCACCATCCAAATTCAGGGTCTGTGCAAAAGGATGCAGGAAAGCTATTCACTGACAGGGATTTTTTTCTTATTCATGTCTTTAATTGTAGGTTTAAACAACTTAAATATACTGTAAAAATGTATTGATGCATGATGTTCTTAGCCATTAATAACACTATGTTTTGTTACCAATGACATTGGCACCGGTCTACTACGTCACTGAGGTAGCATCTCCGACTTCATACCGGAAATTACTTTTATTTTATTCCCCCATATTCTAAAGTTGTTTACAGCTGTGGAAGAAATATTATCTTTTAAATTTTATTGTTTAGAGAAATGTCTATCTTTTTTACACAATGTATGCTATAAAACCGAATGTCAGACTTGAGACAAGCCTATGGCATATGAAAATTAAATTGTAGATAAGATAATAGGTAATGGATAATAAGGATTTCAATGTTTATTTTTTAAAACAATACATGTTTTACATACAGTTGTTTGCTATGAGTTCGAACGTTGTACATAGGACTATTAGATAAAATTATAAAACTTCTGTGTTCATTATATCATTACAATGTTTATTGTTTAAAACATGTCTATCTCTGTATACCGTTTGCTATGAGTTTAGGGTTAGGCCCTAGATACCTACCTACCTACCTACTGGATAGATTATATTCTTTATTTGGAAGCTACACTTTTACAACAGTGGCACACGTAGAAAACGGTGCGTCCAAGAAAAATATAAGAAAACAAACAAAATCAAAACATGACAAATCAAAAG